ATTCTTCATAATTTCTTCTCATCCTTCATTTATTCCTCTGTTTTACTCAGTCGTTATTCCTGTTCTAGAAAATCCCTCCACAGGTCCCATTCACTCCTGGTCAATCTCTTTCACTTTTTCTTTATATCCTCCAATCCCTTCCCATTCATGATCTCTTCCATAATTGGAGGATATGGACCTCAACGTATCTTTTCAATCATGTCTTCCACAGTCCATTGGAAGGGAACCCCTACTCACTGCTCCCCAAATATGCCATGCTCTCTCCAGCCCCTCAGCCTTTCACTCGCCCTTCTCATATTCTCCAGTGCTTTTCCGAGCCTCTTCTGAAATGTCAGCCTGTTACCTTCCCTTGCAAGTTGTTGGACAGAGCTGTGTATATTTTACTTTCATTCTCTAACTTTCTCCAACTCCCTTCTTTCCTATGTTCCTGTCATTCTCTCCTTTGCACTCCAAAGATCCTCTTGTTCCAGACCATACACAAACCTCTTCTTCCTCCTCCTTGATGATTCATACACTGCTCTAATTCTAGACTTCCCATTATTCTTCCTTTGTGCTGACCTTTATCTTGGTTTGGTTTATACTGCCTCTGAGAAGGAGTTATTATCCGGCTACTTCTTCTGCCCTGTTTCTCCATGAGCATCCATTAGGCATGTAACAAGTGGACAAATCTTCCACATGAAATATCTAGGTTACATTTTTAATTCTATACTCTGACTCCCTGGGCCAACAATAGAATGGATCTACAGAAAGAACAGACATTCAGTTACTGAATGGAAGAAATGTTTCCTTCCCTATTCAAAAGCGGCCCCTCTGACTAATTAAAGAAATATGTCAAAACAGTTCCTAAGAAGAACCCAGATGTCAGCCAAAGAATTAAATATTTTGAAAATGGGAAGAACCACTTGGTCTATTTTTCATAAGAGATTGAGAACAAAGGAAAAGAACAGGGACAGAGAAGAAACTAATAAGAATTCAAGCTGAAATAAATATAGAAATCTCTAGTTACATCCATCAAAGGGGGAAATATATAAGCTTAGGACTCTGGTGAAACTAAACTATTATGTAGATACCTAAGGCTTTTACTACATTTCTAATATTTTTCCATCAGCTTTTGACCAAAGCCAAGCCCCTAAAAGGGAAGATGGGACACAAAAAGGCGATGGAACGGTGGGGAGTAAATAGAAGCCTTTAGCATGGCTTAATAAACTAATAATTTTTTAACACAGTGTGATTCAAAAATAGTGGAAGAAAAAAAAAGAAATCAGTGGGCACTTGAAGATATCCATGCTTTGTGAGAATGGACTTCACAAACTACAAAATACTATTCAAATGTAGGCTATTTATTATTATCTGACAGAAGTTCATTGCCTATCACCCATTGCTAGGTAGCAAATGGTATTAACCATGTCCTACCACCTCTCCCAAACCTGATATGACAAGAGTAGTTAAGGAAAGGGAAAAAAACCAAAACAAAACACTAGAAAGAACTTCCATCTTCTCTTAAATTCATGTTACCCCTGAGGGAGCTGAGCTCCTGTAAGGCCAAGTAGCAGAAATGTGAGGCACCCAGAAGCAGTATCAATGTGGCTGTCTGCCTTCAAGGATCAAATAAAAATATGTGTTTATAGATGGAGGGTTGCTAGTTGGTTTGGATGCCAACCTTTGAGTCTTCAGGACTTCCCATTTTCCATAGTCAGCTTCTCCTACAGTCTTGGAGAAGTATCAGACTAAAGAGTAAGATATATAGATGGTTTGAGTCCTGAGTCTCCTGGAGACAATAGCATTCCTTCCTTCCTTCCTTCCTTTATACCCCAGCAGAGCAGTACCAATAGGGCTCCATCAAAATGGTTTCATTTCGGGGCTGTATTCAGAAATGGTTAGAAATTCTTCCTTGGTTCATTCAATAAACACCTGCTGATGCTGTGCCACAGTTGATATAATGGGTATCAAAATGAGTAAGACAAATATATAATGTGTGATATATATGTCATATCTGTAACACACACACACACACACACACACACACACACACACACACACCGCCATGAATAAAGCTTATCACTTTGTAGGTTGTAGGTACTCAATATTAATTTCCTTCTTCCCTCTTTTTGCCTTAAAGTCCTACTTTCTAGCTTAGTATATTATAGGGGACAAATAAACAAATGATTCTGTTATAGTGGAGCTTGTGATATGTGACATGATGTGATGTGATACGATATGTATGATATATGATATGATATATGATATGATACGACATGAGAGTGACACGATCAAGTGGCATGTTAGCTGAGTCTCAGGCAGTAGTTGGTCTGATGGACATTTGACAATATAGAGGAATAAGAGATCATCACAGTCCAATGGATTTGCATTTCAAGAAACAGGGTTGTACATCTGAAACTAATATAATATTGTATGGCAACTGCAATTGAAAATTTTTTTTAATTATTTTTAAAAAAGAAAGAAAAATATAAGCATCTCATTCCAGCAACTTTAACATAAAGAAAAAAATAAAGATTTCTTCTGGAATCTAAGCCAGCTGATAAAAGAAAAGGTAATGTCAATTTAAATGGGAATTATTACTTGTTTTCCCTTAAAAGAAAGTACTGGAAAAAAATCAGAGAAACTAATTTTTACTAGCAATCAAATGCAAAAGAAATTCTAAATATCTGTCAAAAACAAGGCTAAGTGAACTATTTCTGATGCAACAGCAACGAAAAAAAGACCCCTGGGCAAGAGATTTTATAGTCATCCTCCTTTCTAGGTCGGAACTTGCTTAGAATGAGACAAAGAAAAATCTGGACCTGGAATGAGAGAAAGATGTTAGGAATCCATGCACCTCACTGACAGAGATTTGTTTAACAAACAGATGAAAAACCAGAGAAATCAAATATCACAGGAAAAGGGAATGGATTGAGGGAAATAAATTTTAAAAATATGACTCCAGAGTAAAGGGTGATACATTTTTAGAACACCCATTAAGTTAAGTTAGGTGGAAAAGAGAAAAGAAATTAATAGAATATGATAAACGAAAGAACCATTGTTCAGTTTTCTCCACGAGAAAACATTCTGTATGCTCTGCAAAGATTAAATTTGAGATTTTAATGTACCTGAACAAGCAGTAAATGAATTCTGGAATTAAAAGAAAAATCTCTACTGCTCATCTTATACAACACAGAACGGGGAGGGGAGAGAACAAGGAATGCTTCCTCCAAAATCAACGACTTGTTTTGGTTTTTCTTTATTAAGCATAATGAAGGGAATCTTCAACATATATCAATAGAAACCAAGAATGCTAATTTTTTTTTTTAAGAAATAGAAAACCATCATGAAGAAAAGATCTTAGGAAGTGTACAAATTTCATTAAAATATAATTGGACTTGCAGGAACAATTACTGTGCTGTGCTGTAAGGGGTGCTGTTGGCACATAAGAGCAAAGCACACGTCTGAGCTCACCCAGCAGCCTGGGCAAGACCCACTTCCAGCTAGAAGCAGTCATGTTTCAACACCTCCAATTCCCTAATGCTGACAAGCTAAACAACTTGTTTTGTCTCTGGGAGCTCTTCTCTGGTGATTAACTGCTTATGGTGAATACTAATTATAGGAAAGTACAGTATTGAAGAAGTGGTGTCCTATTTCCTCTTACCTGCAGCCTCGACACGTCTTTGAATCTAGAAGGTGCTAGGTAGAGCCATTGTAAACCCAAACCAAGAAAGAAATTTTCTTCCCCCCTCCCCGGTAAAGAACTGTATCTTCTTCTACTTTTTAGAATAACAGCTGACTGACAAGGAGCCACCTTTAACCTCTGGGCTCCAAACCCAATAGAATTACAATCAAGTGAGCGTGTGAAAGGCCCAGAATAATCATATGGATAAATCTGCAGCAAGAGTTTGTGAATTAGTGAACTCTCAGTGTCCTCAATTCCCCATGTCCCATGTTGAAAATTTACCCCAAATTGTCAGTTCTTAGGAACTGCACCTCAGATTAAAATCTTCTCACCGGGGAGTCTATGTGAATTTGTTCTCATGTTTTAAATCCTAAGTGCTTTGTTAAACCGCCAACACCGCAAAATTAGAGACCATTAAACAATATAAGGGAGCAAGTGATTAAATCTACAAAATACACATTCAAAGCAGCTTAAGCTACTTTTTAATTAAAAATAAAATATCACTGGCTAAATTCAGATGTCTTAGCTATCCAGACAAAGTTAGAAAGCTGCTTGAAATGCCAAGTGCTGCTGCTAAGGCCAGACAGAAAAGGAGAAATAGGGTACGGGGTGGCCGGGGAAGTGGCTCATCTTGTCCCAGGGCCCCGGGACCGGCAGGGCCTGGAAATGCTGACCCCGTTGGGTTGGAGGACATGAAGGGGAAGTCACACAGCGCTGCAGGGTGAGGACTCCATGCGGTCGCTGATTAAATAAGCTTTATTAGCAGAGGCCTCCGAGGAGACAGGGTGTTCCACCTTCTTGGCAAGGGGAATGAGTTGAGTAACAGCGTTGCAGGAAGCTACGGCACTGGAGATGTATAGGTGGCCAAAAGAAATATTAGTGCTCTGTTTAAGGAGCGCTTCAACTAATTGATCAACGGTTCTTGAAATAATGATCAGCATGGGGGGAAGGAAGTATGGGGGCTCTTTTCAGTAATGGGATCCCTTGAGATGGAAAGAAACTTTGGCTGTAAAGTTAGAAGTAAATAAACATTGTAGCTTTAAGTTGTTCCTACTTGTTTAAAGTAAAGGGGGAAAAAAGGGCCAGGGGGCTTAGTCAATGTTGGGCAGGAAGCCAGGAATCTGAAGATCAAACTTAAAGCTGGGATGATATCATTCACTCTGAAGCCTTGATGCTCTCTCTCCAGCATGAGAAAAGTTACTGGTAAAACCTGACCTCACCCACCGTTTTCTTATTTTTAACTCTTTTTTTTTTTCAAGGATAATTTTCCAAATCTGCTTTCTGCCTTAATATGTGTGTGTTATGAATTTACACTGAGCTTCCAACATGGTCTTACCTAAAAAGCTTGCCCTGAAGTAAAGCATGGGCACTTGGTAGCTACAGGAATATAAGACATGATACTCGTATTTAATCACTTCGGTTGCTGCCATGGTCTCAGTCACTTCAAAGTCATCCAGGGGTAACTCTAAAGCCTCCTGAAAAAAAAAGCAAAAACATAACCAAAATGTGTTTGTCAATTAACACAAAAAGTACACTAACATGGAGAGAGAAAGATGGGTTTTTCTTCTTGCAGAATAACAGTTAAATAAATATAGAACTATGAGGTAAGGAAAAGGGAGTTTCCCACATTAATGTTTAACATTTGAGTCCTGGGTAAATAGTAAAACCAGAAAACATTAGCATTAAGTAATTCCAGATTGTTTTTGAGAGACAAAGCAGGTCTGGGTAAAGAAACAGGAAGAGAAAAAAAAGCAAAAAGATCTATTGCAACGGCAACTCTGAAAAATCTTTACTGTTCAATTTTAGCAACAAGATGATGGCTATACAAGCTACTGTCTTCCTTACCTGTGAAAGCTAAAAACATCCTAACAATTGAACAAGAGCCTGTGAAATGTCCCTAAAGATCCTATTGTACTTGCCAAAAGATGATTCATTGTGAGCTGAACAATTCCCAGTTCCATTTTGAATAAGAAAGTTATTTTGCAAGAGGTTGAGTTTGTTAGGTACATTTCAAAACCTGAGCTGAATCTGCTTTCTTTATTATTGTGCTATCTTTGGTCTATTTCTACAATAAATCTTTATTTATAACAGAGTAGAAGGCAAATATTAATGTCAACTTAAATAGGGTTTTGTGAGCAAAGACGGTTAACACCAGTTCATGTCTCACCTAATCATTCTTTACTGGTTGATTTTTTTATGATGTGTGGGGGTTTCTTAAGAATGTATCTTAATGTTTAGAAGCAATTACATAGACATGTTGAGTCTGGTTCAACCCACATATTTATTTGGATTGAAGAATTTCCTTTGAAATTAAGTGAGTAAAAGGAAAGAAGCAGGTTGGTTTGGCTCACTTCTACCTCTCGTTAAAACTGTAACAATGACAATGAACAATTGGAACGAGCTACAGGTAAGATTTCAAACTTTATCAATATGAAATAAGGTTTCCTGTGAAGATAAGTAAAGCCACAGACTGCTTTCCAGATCTGTCTCTGCTTTACTAATTCCCCACTCACCATCAATACATCTATAGCGCAGGGAGACACTACACTAGATAAATCACTACTGGAGATAGTTACAAAACAGTTTTTCACCAAATTCCAGTAATTACTATCAATTACACACAATCAACTAAATAACCAGAGAGAAATCACTGAACTAAATATTCCAGTACAGAAAATTAATACAGTAGCAAGAAAGAGGTTTTTCTGTTTATTTAAATTTGCATTAAGCAAAGGTATCTAGATCATCTTTTAAGGCAACCCTTTTAATCAAATCTATCTTTTTCGTTAACAATTGGGTTGTTTAGCATTTATAATTTCTTCTCTTAACATTATAAAACATTACATCTTTGTGATAAAAAATAATTACAAACACTGCACAAGTATGTAAAATTCCCCTCAACCTAGCAGTCTTATCAGTATGTATTTTGCCAGCCATTTTTTAAAATTTCTTAACACACACACACACAGACACACACACACACACACACACACACACACACACACACACACCCCTACCACCAGTTAAATCATGCTGTATATACCTCTGTTCCTTGATTTGACTTTTCACTTGTGGACATCCTACTATGTGCTGCCATGTCAGTGCTGTAGATTTTGATCCTTTTAATGGTTTCACTGTATTCCATTGTATTACTATGCCACAGGTTTTATTTTTTTAACATTTCTATATTGCTGATATTTTAGGTTGATTATAATTTTCTGCTACTACAACTAATGCTGCGATGAATATCTTAGCATATATATCCTTATACACCTCTGTTTTTCTATGGTGCAGATTCCTAAAGGCAGCATTACTGTATGAAAGAGTATATGCATTTTAAATTTTGATACTTCCAATCTGTCCTCAGAAGAAGGCTGTATCAGTTTATATCCTCAACAAAAATGTATGAGAATGCTCTTTACCATATCCCATAAATACTGCATGTTACTTGTGTTTTTAATTTTTGCCTATGTGGTGAATTTTTAAATGTCAATTTTTTGTTTAATTTCTAGGCTCTTGATTAGTGAAAGTGAACATCTAATCATGTTTGTTGGTAATTTGTATTCTTCTGTGATTTGCCTGTTCTTATCCTTTGCCTATTTTTCTGATATTAGTTTGCATTTTCCTTATTGAATTATACAAATTATTTGTATATTAGAAATAATAACTCAATTAAAGATATAGATATAGATAAACAGGTGTGCAAGAATATGTGCTAAGTATATGTGTAGTGCATAAAACATTTTCACTTAGGTTTCTTTTAACTTTGTTTCTTGTACATTTTACCTTTTTTGTTTTTTTTTTACTTTTTATATAGTTAAATTTGTACATTTTCTATTTACATTTTCTATTTGTTGCTACTGAGTTGCCTGTCTTCATCAGAAGGCATCCTGCTATGAAGTCACCTCATCCTTAAAATTTATAAAAATGTTTAACTCCTTTATTCTACACACACATATTCTCACACACACATTTTACTAGTTTCATGTGTGCAAAACAACATAACGATTAGTCATTTACACACCTCATGAAGTGATAACCCCAAGTCTACTACCCATCTGACACCCACACACGTTTTAAAATTTACATTTAGATCATGAATCCACCTGAAATTTGCTTTTTTATATGGCGTGAGGTAGGAATTTTTCTCAGATGATTTCTAGTAGTCCAACGGTTCATTTTTCCCATTGATTTTTAATGCCACCTTTACTATAAATTAGATTTGTGTGTGTGTGTGTGTGT